AGCTGACGTCAGATGCTTAACCAACTGAGCCACCCAGGCGCCCCACTAATATTTTATTAAGGATTTTTGCATCTATGTCCATGAGAGATATTGGTCTGCAGTTTTCTTTTCTTGCAATGTCTTTGTCTGTGTTTGGCGTTAGGGTAATGCTGTCCTCGTGGAATGAGTTAGGAAGCAGTCTTTCTGCTGCTTTTGTCTGAAAACCTCTAGAAAATTGGTATAACTTGTTCCTTCGATGTTTGATAAAATTCACCAGTGAACCCACCTGGCCTGGGTGATGTCTGTTTTGGAAAGTTACAAATTATTGATTAAATCTCTTTAATAGACATAGGATACAGGCTTTTTTCGTATTGTGTGGATCATCTTGGGTGAGTTTTGGCAACTTCTGTCTTTCAAAGAATCGGTCCATTAGTCCAGGTTTCAAGTTTGGGGGCACAGGGTTGTATACAGTGTTACTTTCTTATGCTTTTAGTTTTCATGGGGTCTGTAGTAATGTTCCTCTTTCGCTTTGAGTACTAGTATCGTCTTCTCTCTTTTTTCTTAAGCAGCTTGGCTAGAGGCATATCAGTTTTATTCATTTCCCCAAAGAACTAGTTTTTGGTTTCGTGGATGTTTTCTGTATGGAGTTCCCGTGTTCTGCTTTAATTTTTATTTTTTCTTTTTTCCACTTTGGACTTAATTTGTTCTTCTTTTTCTAGTTTGTTAGGTGGAAGTGTAGATGATTAATTTTAGACCTCTTTTTCTTCTCTGATCTATGCGCCTAGTGTTACAAATGTCCTCTAAGCACTGCTTTTGCCGTATTTCACAAATTTTGGTACACTGTGTTTTCGTTTTCATTTAGCTCAGAAACTTTTTATTTATTTAAGAAAATTTTTTTTTACATTTATTTATTTTTGAGAAACAGTGTGAGACAAAGCATGAGTGGGGGAGGGACAGAGAGAGGGAGACACGGAATCTGAAGCAGGCTCCAGGATCCGAGCTGTCAGCACAGAGCCCGAAGCAGGGCTCCAGCCCACAAACCGTGAGATCGTAACCTGAGCTGAAGTCGGACGTTCAACCGACTGAGCCCCCCAGGTGCCCCTAGTTCAAGACTTTTAATGTTTTCTTGGGATAACCTTCTTTGGCCCGTGTGTTCTTTAGAAATGCGTTCTTTGATCCCCATGTATTGTGGGGTTTTCCAGCTCTCTTTCTCTTACTGGTTTCTAGTTCAGTTGCACAGTGGTCCGAGAGCAGACACGGTGTATGATTTCCGTTCTTTTGAATTTGTTCAGGCGTGTTTTATAGCCCAGCCTGTGGTCTGTGTTGGTGAACGCTGCGTGTTCTGCCTGCTGTCGGACGAAGTGGTCTGTGGACGTGCATTGGGTCCAGCCGACTGATGGTCATGTTGAGTTCATCCGCCTCCTTACCCATCTCCTACTGCTGGGTCCGTCCCCTTCGGAGGGAGGCGTGTTGAAGTCCCCAACCACCTCTGCGAGTTCATCTGTTTCTCCTCGCACTTCTGCTTGCTTCTGCCTCATGTGGTCTGACGCCCTGCCCTGGGCCCGCACACGTAAGCACGGTTGTCCTGTAGAACTGACCCGTTCGTCCTGCCACATCCTTCTCTATACCTGACGACTCTCCTGGCTTCGAAGTCTGCTTTGTCTGAAGGGAGCTACTCCTGCTTTATTTCACTGATTTGCACCGTGGTCGCGCAGTGCATTTCCACCATCCATTTACTTTTGATTTGTACGTGTCTTTGTACTTAAAGTGGATTCCTTGTGGACAACTGCGAGTTGGGTCTTGGATTTTGATTCACTCTGATGATCTCTTTTAATTGGTGCCTTTAGACCATTGACATTCAAAGTGATGTTGAGGTAGTTGGGTTCTTATCCACACTGTTGTTTTCTCTTGTTGCCCTCGTTCTTTGTTCCTGTTTCGTCTTCCACTCCTTGTCTGTCTTTTGTGGTTTTGAGTGAGCATTTCACATGATTCTGCTTTCTCTCCTTTTACCGCATATCTAACACTTGATTTTCAGTGGTTGCCTTAGAGTTTGCAATATACACTTGTGACTAATCCCACTTTCAAAAACACTGTGCCCTTCGTGGTCGTAGGAGTGCCCTACAATAACGAGATGACCCTAGTTCCTGCTTCCCGCCCTTGTGTCGTGGCCGTCACTTGTCTTAGCTGTCTGGAAACACAGAGGGCGTTGTGTCTACTTAAACGGGTACGTAAGTGTGCAGGTCGATGCATTCCCACTGCCATCATTTTGAACAAGCTGTTCTCTGTTGGATCAGTTAAGAGAAATAGAAGTTCTGGGGCACCTGGGCGACTCCGTCGGTTGAGCAGTCCGACTCGTGATTTTGGCTCGGATCGTGATCCCAGGGTCGTGGGATCGAGCCCCACGTCTGGCTCTGCGCTGACTGCTTGGAGCCTGCTTGGGATTCTCTCTCTCCCTTTCTCTGCCCCTCCCCTGTTCACGTGCATGCTCTTTCTCTCCCCTCTCTAGAAAATAAATAATCATAAATTGCTTTTATTTTATGTGCACTTAATTCTTCCCGCGATGTTCTTTCTTACTTTATGTAGACCCAAGCTTCCAACCTCTGTTACTTTTGGCCTCTCTAAAGAGCTTCTTTGGACATTTCTTGCAAAGCAGGTCTGCCAGCAACACGTTCCCTTGGTTTTTGTTTCCCTAAGAGTTTGGTTTCCCTTTGCTTTTGCAGGCCAACGTCACAGGGCACAGAATTCCCGGGTGGCAAGCGTTTTGTCTTAGCACTTAAATATCCCCGTCCTTCTTTGCTTGCACGGAGTGTGAGGACAAGTCGGGCGCAGTGCTCGCCTCTGCTCATCTACCGACGAGGTGTTTTCCTCCGGCTTCTTTCAGGATTGCATCAGCTTTGATGGGGTGCGGCCCGAGCTCGGCGTGCCTGGGTGCGGCGTTCCGGTGTTTCTCCTGCCCGACGTCCCGGGGGCTCCGTGCGCCTGCGGTTAGGGTCCGACACGAGTGGGGCGCTCTCACTCGCTCGGGAGTCCGACGTTTCTCCCTCCCTTTCCCTCTGCTGTCCCCGTGACGCACGTGTGGCACGTCTGTGGTGGGCCCGGGGCCTCGGCTACCCTGTTCGGTTTTGTTCACTCTGTGAGAAGGAAGCCTTTCTCATGTTCAGTTTTGGGGGTTTCTCTTCTGTTGTCCTCAAGCCCCGAGATTCTTCCGCCGGCCGCGTCCAGTCTCCCGATGACCCCACAAGGACAGTCTTTGTTTCTGTCACGCTGTGGTGGATCCCCGACGTCTCCTGCCCGTTCTCTCAGGACTTCCTTCTCTCTGCTCACCTTGGCCCTCTGTTCCTGCGCGTGGTCGGCCGCATCCATCGGAGCCCTGAGCGTATTCATCCCAGTAGTTTGACCCCCGGGTCTGCCAGCCGCCCTGTGTCTTCACGTCGTTCTCTGCCTCTTGGCGTGCCCGGTCGTGTTTCCTCGATGGCCAGCCGTGAGGTTCCCGGCTGTGAGGGGACGGGCGGGGAGGTGACCAGGCTGGGGGCCGGGCCCCGTGCCAGGTGCCGTGAGCGGGGTTCAGTCTCAAGCGAGCCCACGCCTCTGGACTGTGCCTCCCTGGCGCCCGGCGTGGTGGCCGTGGGGCCGAGCGTCCTGCTGGGGCCCTGTCACCGCCCGCCAGCCCGGCAGCAGGTAGCAGGTGTGTTCCAGGTGGGAGCCTAGCGGGAGCCCCTAGCTGCGCCTTTCCTGTCCACATCATGGTACAAGCGTGCCTCCCTGCGTGTCCTCTCTGTGTCTTCCATGTCTACTTTTCCTGAACTTTCTGCACCCTTTGTTCTTGGCCCCGTTGCCCCCACTGGCGGACTGCAGACCGCCTGCCTGTCCCCACATCCCTGTCACTGCTCCAGTTAAGATGCCAAAGGCGCTGGTTTCCTCCAGAGCAGGACCTCAGGGTCCCCCCGGCCTGCATGGCTCAGGCCACGGCCACGACACTCACCTCCCATCACAGATGGACATTCCTCCTGTCTGACGGGAGTGCTGCGGTGACAGGACACGTCTCGTACCGGCACTGCGCTGTTGCCCGTGACGTGGGCCTGCTGTCTTCAGTTGATGGCATCTGGCGGTCAGGGCGCCCTGGCCGAGAGGCCTCCCTCCGGGACGGGGCTGTGCCATCTCCGTGCCCTGGCTGTGGACGACCGCACCGTGCCTGGTCCTGCCCCGCCCCGCCCCGTGGCAGCAGCGGCCCCGCTTGTCCCCACGGCCACCCCAACCCTGTGACCACAGTAGTCGGACCTCCTGAATGTGCTGCGTCTTGGAACCTCCCACTTAGGGAGTCTGGTGTCTGTCCCCGTGCTGAGTCGTTTACACGAGCACCGCGGTCTCACGGAGATGGCGGCTCATCGTGGACGTGGCTTTGCATGGCACATCCTTGAATTCGAGGTCTCGGTGCGGACCAACTGCACGAGATACAGTCCCATAAAGCTCGTACACGTGTGTGGATGCTGTTCTTTGTCCACAGGTGTTGTTGGAAGAAGCAAAAGATTTGCTCTCTGACTGGCTGGACTCCACACTGGGCAGCGAAGTTACGGACAATTCTATTTTCTCCAAACTGCCCAAGTTCTGGGAAGAAGAATTCCACAGAGACATGGAAACCCTGAACGTAAGTGTTGCCAGCTGTCCTGCCCTTGCTCTCTCATCGGGGCCCGATGATCGCGATCCCGACCGTCTTCAGTCAGGTCTAAAGTGCAGGCTGGGGGCCTGCGGGCCTTCTTGGCCTGCATTTGGTGCTGGTGCTTCCTGGAGCGTGCTGTCCGAGGCTGCTGTTCCAGAAGGAAGAGGGTCACTTGTTCTTCTCACCCCCAGGTTCTCCCTCCGGACGTCCTGACCCGGGTGAGTGAATATGTGCCGGAGATCGTGAACTTTGTCCAGAAGATCGTGGACAACGGCTACGGGTAAGCTCGGGGCCCTCCCCGTGGGAGCACGGCATTCCGGGAAGGCTGTGCAGGGAAGGCGGCAGGGAGGGGAGCTCGTGGTGCTGTGGGGCTGCGGCCAGCAAGCCCCTGGCTCCGGACGGCACAGGGCAGGGTCGTTCCTCCGCAGGCCGCGAGGGCAGGCTCTGTCCCGGCCCCTGGCCTCGGCTGGCAGATGGCGGCCCTCTCGCTGCCTTGGCACATACTTGTCACTCTGCACACGGGCTGCTGGGGCTCCTTTTGTGTCCTCGTCACCTCCTCTGACGCAGACGCTGCGTAGGAGTCATGCAGGGTTGAGGCTCCCCCTGGTGACCTCGCTTCGCCTCTGCAAAGACCCCGTCTCCAAACACTGTCCTGTTCTGGGGGGCTGCGAGCTAGCACTGACACACAGGAATTGGGGGGGACACGGCCGAGCCCATGACCTCACCGCGGGAGCAACTGCCCCCGTGTCATGCCGACCCTCCCGGCAGCCTCGCTCCTCGGTGCCGCTGAGTCCTCAGCGTCGGGGCCGCGGCAAGGATGCGCGTGCCGTAGAGAGCGCCCGCCTGAGGGCTGCCAGCGAGCCCACGGCTAAGTCCGCGAGCACGGGGCCGGGCTGGTGAGCGTGGAGGCGTGGTTTCCGCCGCACGGCGTGAGACCCCTTGTCCATGAGTCACCTCCCAGGGACGCGTGTTTCCTCGAGGTCCTCAGCCTCGGTGGTGACCCTGGTCTGCCCTCTCGGCACCACCTGACCCGCGAAACACCGTCTGTGTCTCTGAAGTTAGCGCTGTCGAGAATCACCGACGCCCAGAAGCGTAACTGGGGGCGTGGGGTCTGCCGCGCGGGGGGAGGGGGGCGCCCTCCCCTGCGCCCCTGCTCTGGGAGATTCCGTCCCCGCCTCTCGGGCGAGATGAGGCACCACCGAGCGGAACGAGGAGAGCACAAGACCTGGTGTGGGGCCCGGAGTAGCACAGGCTCTCTGGAGCTGGTGACGCCTCCCCTGTCCCCTACCTGGCAGGGTCCCTGCAGGGCGACAGGGGGTCGTGTGCCAGACTGAGTGCCGTGGGCGAGGCCAAGGTGAGAGAAGACAGATCATTCCGGGCTGGAATAACGTGGAGGGCTGCTGAGAGGCAGAGAGCCTTGGCGGGGCCGTGCAGGCGGGTGGAAGGTGGACCGAGCGAGGGCAGGGCACCCGGGACCGTGCCGTCACCAAGGCGAGGGGCAGGGCGGGAGCTGTGTGGTCCAGGGCTGCGAGGCGGAGGGACTGCGTGGGGACACGCCGTCCTGAGAGTGAGGAGTTGGCCTCCGTGACGAGGCGTGCGTGTCGGGCCCGCTCGGCCTGCACGGCGGCCGTGGTTGCGAGTAGCTACATCACGGGGCCGCAGGACGGCCGAGGCCACGCTGGACGCAGTGGGCAGAGCAGAGTTTTAAGAGGCCTGCGGCCCGTGCAGCCCTTTGGCTTTGCAGGTTGTGCTCCTGCGAGGCGCCCGGGCTGTCCGCAGGTCTGTCCACTTTCCCACAGCCTGGTTCTTATTTTCCAGCTACGTTTCCAATGGGTCCGTCTACTTTGACACCGTGAAGTTTGCTTCCAGCGAGAGACACTCCTACGGGAAGCTGGTGCCCGAGGCCGTTGGGGACCAGAAAGCCCTGCAGGAAGGGGAAGGTAAACGGGGCCGGGTGAGGGGGTTCAAGCCCAGGCCTCGCCCCCGCCCCCAGCCTGCCTCACCCGGGCGCCTGGGGGCTGTGCCTTGTTGCCCAAGGAGTTTGGGGGGTTTTCCGCAAGAAACAAAAAAGCGAGCGTATCCAACACCATCTCAAAAAGCGTAGCGGACCCCGGGCCTGGATCTGGAGGGTCAGGGCAGCTTGTGGGATGCCCTGCGTGCCGGTGTGGGACGCCCAGTGCCGATGTGTCACGAATATGCAGGTTGCGACCTGGTGAATGAGGGGGCAGAAGCCACTCCCTTCCCCCCCCCCAACCAGGGTCAGCAGGTGGCCCCCTTGGCATCTGAGCTCCTGCCTTTGGGAAAGTGGAAACCCCAGGGCTGTTTGGATTGAGGCTATGGTTTCAGCACACCCACGCCAGAGGAAGTACGGTCCCGAGAGTTGGCCCTTACGGGTTCTGGTCGCACACAGTGAGCCGGGGGAGGAGTGGCCCTCTGTCCCGGGGGAACGGGAGACAGCGGCAAAGCGGGACCCTGGTCCTCGTCAGGCGGTTGGGGTGGCGGTCACCGCTTCCCGTGGGCTCAGCTCTGCGCAGCTGTCTTAAAGGTGCCCCGGGACAAGCAAGGCAGGAACGCGGGGCAAGAATTGCCAGGTCAGGTCTTTGTGGGCATGTTCCGATTCTGGGCGGCACCTCAGAATGCCTGGTTCCTCTCTCTTTTTTTTCTCTTTTTTAAGTTTTTTATTTGAGAGGGAAAGAGAGAGACAGAAGGCCTCTGTGCACACACGCGAGCGGGGGCGAGGGGGCAGAGGGAGAAGAGCCTGACTTGGGGCTGGAACTCATGAACCATGAGATCGGGACCCGAACCAAATCCAGGAGTCAGACGCTCAGCCCCCTGAGCTGCCCGGCCACCCCGAGGATCGCTGAAGACATCCTGCAGAGTAAAGGAGGTCCCGTCACGATGCTGCGGCACCCGTGTCCTCAGAGGATGGTCACAGACTTGGGTGGACCGGCAGCGGGGCCCCCGCATCCCTGCGGCATCAGGGACGCACCCTGGTGTGCACGGGAGGTGCCGGGCACGCCCCACGCACGGGTTGCTCAGACGGGCCGAGGCCCCCAAGACGCAGAGGGGTCGGGGTACGCGGGCAGCGGGGCTTCGTCTAGCAGACGGGCCTTCGCACACGCGAATGAGGGCAGGGCCCTCCCGTAAGCCCGCGTGGGACCCACGCCCGGCCGCAGAAGGGGTTGCTCCTCACGAGGACCACAGCTTCTGCCCATGGCGCGCCGAGCTGGACACCCGCCCCGAGGGGACGTCCGGACCTGTTTGAAGTCGCACCAGAGCCGCAGCGGAGGTCACTCCGGGTTTGGAACTGAACAGCCACGGGAGGGCCGCACGGTCCCCCCCCCGGTCTGGGGGAGCTCACGCGCCAGTTCCGGGCCGCCCGACGTGTTATGTGTGGTTGTGAAAAAACGCAGACGGCAACGAGTGGGGCCAGCTGCCAGAAAAGTCCCCGAAGGAGCAGCAAAACACCAAAGGAGAGGTGCCTGCAACGGCGGGTTCTTCGCAAGGATTCGCGATACAGAAAACCCGCTAGCGGGACCAATGAATAAACACAGAAGATTCGAAAATACGTCCGGACAGGGCCGCCCGGGACCAGAGACGGTGGCGTCTGCGAGAGCCCGGGAGGACGGGACCGCGCCGCTCGGCCCAGCGCGGCCAGGGGCGGCCTCCAGTCGGGGCAGGGAGAGCCCCGGAGACGGGAGGGGCCCGCCGCGCTCGGGACCCCGCACCATGTGCCCCAGCTGCGTTCTTTTTCTTTCTGCTTTCTCTTCTCCTCTTTTCTCTTTTGTCCTTTCCAGTAACCTCTACGTCCAACACGAGGCTTGAACTCACGACCCCGAGATCAAGAGTCTCGTGCTCATCCGACTGAGCCAGGCGCCCTGGGGTCTTAAATGTCACGTGTTCTTGGGTCTTTTTTCCCGGACTGACGTCAGAATCTCTGTGTTCCGGGGGCCAAAGTAGTCGATCCGACAGCGAATATAAAGGGACGAGGGGGGTCACGCCCTCCTTCGGGGACAGTGCCGCTTCCCTGGCTGTGCTGACGGCACGAGGCTCCTCACTGCGTGGACGCTGGGATGCGGGGCTCCGGTGGAGAAGGGGCCTGGAGCCATCTCGGGGTGCGGGGCATCGGGGAGGCAGAAGGCACGAACCAGCTGTGCCTGGCGTCACTTTGGGTGCCTCAGGAGGGAGACGAGAAAGGACACCAGGAGAGTAGCAGGGGTCGTGGGACTTACTCCTCTTGAAGAGTCTAGAGCAACTATCAGGTGTCCCCCAAAGTGGCACTTGGCGAAGGGCGTGGGGAGGGGTGTGTGCGAAAGGGGGTCCTCTGTTCCAGAACTTTCCAAAAAATTTTCTGAAAAGTCAGGTACGTTCATAGTAAATGTGTTCGTTATCGTGAAAATTAAAAGCCTGGATGCACGCTGTCGGCTAAATACAGGCTGGCCAGAGGGGTGTCATGACAGCTCGTCACATCGTCTTTGAGCGGCTGGTGTGATGTGGTGACTGGCTCAGTGAGAAAGAGACATGAGACCGGGGTGGAGTCTGTCCTGCTGTGTGTGGATGTGTGTTTGTTTGCAGAGACTAAAACAACCCAGAAACCTGTACACGGGGGCACCTGGAAACTGACAGTACCTGTCAGCCTTCGTCTGTGACCGTGGCGTTGTTTTCCAGGTTTTCTCGTAGTTTCCAAGTATTCTACTTATAGTGCCCGTGTCATAGGCGTCAGCTCTGTCGTAAAAATACCCTGCGCGCGCTCTCCCTCGGCTGTTCTCGGGTCACCTGCCCTGTTGCTTGAACGGTGGCGGTCTTTGAGGTCGGCCGTGTCTGCAACTGTGGGCCCCGGGAGGAGTCTGTCGTTCCTGTTCCGCTGTTGTCCATGGGGGGGCGACAGCACCCAGGACGAGGCGGCGTGGAGACCACGCACGGAGCCCCGGGACCATGCCCCGCGCTGGCCCCGCTCACCTGGCCCCCCTGTGAGGGGGACTGACCGCAGGCGTTCGTTCGTTCTCTCGGCAGCCGGTGGGTCCATGGGCGCCACGGCTCCTGCGTGTGGCCCAGGGAAGTGTCCCGGGGTGATGGCGTTGTCCTTTCCCGTTGCTCCCACCGCAGGCTGGCCTGCCCCTGGGGGCCCGGCCGTGACTGGCCGCGGCTTTCTCCTGGGGGGCCGCGTCTGGGAGCCCAGCTCGGCCAGGAGGAGTGGTGACGTCCCGCTTCGCCATCTATGGGGCCGAGCTGGAGGGCCAAGGAGCCGCACAGAGCGGGTTGGCTGGTTCTCAGACCTCCCAGAACCGGGAGCCGTGCGGGCCGCCGAGACGAGCCCGCCCCACCGAGGGCTGCCACCACGCCACGGCCTCACCCCTCAGTCTGGAGCCCCGTGGCTCACCCTGGCTCCGGGCCATGGCCGTGAGGGGAAGGCGGGGAGGAGGGTCTGAGGAAGTGGCAGGCGTGGTCCGGTCCCAGGTGGTCGCCCTCAAACCGCGGGGCAGCACTGAAGTCTTGCCGTGAAGCCGCAGCACTGGCTGAGGAAGCCGCGCAAACCAGAAGCGTCGGCCAGCCGCTCCCAGCGGGGGCCCCGCAGCGACACTGGTCCGCCCGCTGGGCAGCACCGGGTGAGCTGCTTCCCTCGTATCCACAGGTGACCTGAGTGTCTCGGCAGACCGCCTGAGTGAGAAGCGGTCCCCCAATGACTTCGCTCTGTGGAAAGCCTCCAAGCCCGGCGAGCCATCCTGGCCGTGCCCGTGGGGAAAGGTGGGCCCCTGGGAAGGGGTGGGGCTGCGGTGACGGCGGGACCTGGTTGCTGGCGGGGACCCAGATGCCACAGAGCCTCGTGGGCCTTGGGGCACGAGACGTCCCTTTTGGGACTCCTTCCCGGAGGATTGGACGACCTCCGTGGCCCCTGTGTCCTGGGGGCCTTTGATTCTGAGTGTTACCCGCTCCTGGAGATGAGTCCACTGTCTGATGTCCCCTGTGACAACAGTGCCCCTGGCCCAAGGCTGCGGGAGGGGTGTAGACATCTGCTTCTGGTCGAGTGCTGGGCGGCTCTGGGGGTTACATGAGTCTTACTTGGCCTCCATGGCCTGCCGTGGGCTCCCCTGAGTTTTTCACGTGTGGAACATAACCCCTGTTCCAGTAAGGCCCAGAGATTTGGAGGCTCATGAACGCTGGGGTAACTGAAGGCCCGGACGCAGAGGGTTGGCCATCGGTCACCGGGTCATCTCGGTCCCTAGGGGCGTCCGGGATGGCACATCGAGTGCTCGGCCATGGCAAGCGCTCTCCTGGGAGCCTCGATGGACATTCACGGAGGGGGCTTCGACCTCCGGTTCCCCCACCACGACAACGAGCTGGCCCAGTCAGAGGTGGGCAGAGGCCGGGGTTGCTGTTCCGGCTGGGGGGCCTCGAGTTCTCCCTGCGGGGGAGGAAGGAGCCGAGGGCACGGCCAGCGGGGTGCTGCGTGGAGCCTGATTTCCACATCAGGGTCTTGCCGGTGGAATTTGAACCCTAGTTGTCGGGTCCGATTTCCCACCTGAACAGCCTGACCTTGGACAACAGACAGGCCTGGGGTGGTCGCGGTGGTTACCTCTTGCATCGTTGGTCCAGGGCCGTCCCTTGGGCCCCCGTTCCCCAGCTGGAAAAGGCAGCCCCCCGTGTTCTGCATCGCGGGGGGCACAGAGTGCTCACGGAGCGTGCCCCTGCCCCTGCCAGCAGCTGCCTCGTGTGCCCGACCTTGCCCCCTCCGCCCCCACCCCCCCGAGCAGGCCTACTTCGACAACGACTGCTGGGTCCGCTATTTCCTCCACACGGGCCACCTGACCATTGCGGGCTGCAAGATGTCCAAATCGCTCAAGAACTTCATCACCATCAAAGACGCCTTGCAGAAGCACTCAGGTAAGAGCTTGGCCTCTCCCAGAGACCCGAGCGCCCCTCTTGTTGGATGCGCGACGGCGGTGGCTGCTCGGGAGGGTGGGGGGACCGCTGTGCCGTCTCCTCCCCCAGCGCGGCAGCTGCGGCTGGCCTTCCTCATGCACTCGTGGAAGGACACGCTGGACTACTCGAGCAACACCATGGAGTCCGCGCTTCAGTACGAGAAGTTCATGAACGTGAGTGCCCACCTCCCCCGGGGCGGGGACGCCTCGGCTCAGCCGCGGCGGGACCGCGGCCGCCCCCCCTCGCCCCCGGTGGAAGACCGGAGACTGGCGAGAGCAGCCTCGCCCGGGGCCGCCCAGCCCCGTGCCCCCTTCCCGAAAGCCCTGGCGCCCGCTGGCGTCAGGAGCGCTCGTGCGTCTCGTCTCCGTGCGGCACGTTTCGCTCGGACCCGTGGCGTCGGCCGGACTAGCGTCTCAGGCTAACACCGGGACGCGTTTCCATCTCCAAGGAAAACCTTTCCCCGTCTCGGCCAGCCCTGGGGTGGTGCCGGCGTGCCGTGGCTCCCCAGATCATACCTGAAGGAGATGTGCTTCCCTCCAACAGCCTCTCCTCGGCGCTTTCCCGGAGGGCAGAGGTTTCTAAATGCCATTAAACGGAACTTTCTGACTTTAGGAGTTTTTCTTAAATGTGAAAGACATCCTCCGAGCTCCTGTTGACATAACCGGTCGGTTTGAAAAGTGGGAAGACGAAGAGTCGGAGCTGAACAAGAGGTAGGAGGGAGACGTGCCTCTGGGGCCGGGCAGCCGTCGCTCCCGTGTGTGCCAAACCGCGCCCGGGGTGCGCTGCCCCCGCGGGGGTTCTTGGCAGTGTGTCCATCGGCTGACGTTCCTGCCTCCTCTTAACTCAGCTTTTACGACAAGAAGACGGCAGTGCACGAGGCCCTCTGTGATAACGTCGACACGCGCACGGTCCTGGAAGAGATGCGGGCTCTGGTCGGCCAGTGCAACCTCTACATGGCGGCCCGGAAGGCCGCGAGGAGGAGGCCCAACCGGGCTCTGCTGGAAAGCATCGCTCGGTACCTCACCCACATGCTCAAGGTAGGCGGCTCCCTGGAGGCGCAGGCCGCCGTGTGCTCGCCGGGCTATGTGCACGCAGGCGGTCAGGCCCCGGGCGGCACAGAGAATCGTGGGGTTCGGAAGCTGAGACCTGTCCCGTCCTTCGCTCCCGCTGCGCTCCTGCGCCTCAGAAAGCACTTGCGTGCAGCTGCCCTTCGTGCTCACACGTTCTGGGGTCGGCCTCCTTGCCCTTCCGGCCCCCTCTTGCCCAGTGGCCTCACCGAGAGCGGGCCGGAGAGGGCAGGGGAGGGGGGCACCCTCGGGCCTGGCATCTCCCTCCACCCAGTGAGGCCGTCTGCACCGCCTCCCCTACCCATCTGCAGCAGCGTGTTTCCTGGACCCGATCTCTGTGGGCCGCCTCTCGGGACCTCTTTACACGCTCCCGCACGTCTGTTTCTCTTCCAGGTCTTTGGGGCCATAGAAGAGGAAAGCTCCCTGGGATTCCCGGTCAGAGGACCTGGGAGCAGCCTAAATGTGAGTATAAGTGCACCTGGCACAGAGAAGCCCCCCTCCCTTGGGTCGCCCCACCCCCGGGAAGTGTGCCCATCCAGAGGAGCACACTCTCACCCTCCACACCTGCTCCGTGCCTTCCTTGTTCCCCCTCCTTGGCCGAGCCTGTGGACATTTGGAGACCCACGTTAGGTCCCACCTGCGCTGGACCTTCCGGACTGAGCCCCGGGTCACGCCTGGGCCTGGCTGGGAGAATTGAGCAGTCAGCTACCCCAGTGCGTGTGCAGGGGCAGCCAGGGCCTTGCTCCCGGCCGTTTGCCGTTTGTCAGGGAACCGCGCTGCCGTGGTGTGTGAGGTGGTCCCGGGAGAGCAGGCTAGCTGGGACAGTCTCTGGAGAAGCCGCAGCCACACGGCCCGGGTTCACAGGCGCTCACGTCCTTGCTCGTGTGGATCAGATCCCACACTGGTCCGCGCGTCTGATGGGGAGAAGGTTCAGCAGAAGCAGCTGGTGTCACCCTTGTGGCCCGGAGCCGCTGCGTGGTGACTGACTCTCCTGGAGTGTGTGCCTTCAGGCTCATGTCAGAACTGCTTCCACGCCCCACCCCTGCTCCGGAATGATCCCTGTGGTTTGATTGGAACGCGTGTGTAGATATTTAAATATAACTTAAATGAAAAGAGGAACCAAGTACAGGGCGGAAGGGCAAAACCTCTTTAAGATTGTTTCGTGATAGCGGCTGGTGTGAAAACTCTGTCCTTCAGGGGGAGCTTGGAGGTGTTTCCCCGAGAATTGAGTTCAGAAGGCCTGCCTGAGCCCCGGGCCTCCATCTTTTTTGGCGCTTTTCAGAAAAGGAAACCTACAAGCTGCTTCGTTCTCTTGTGTCAGTGATACCAGATTTTATTTCCCAGGGGAAAAAAAAAAACTTCCTACATTAGAGACCATCCGCTTTCGAACTTAAAAATACTTTTTTTTTAAAAGTTTTTAGTGTTTATTTTTTTTTTTGAGAGACAGAGAGAGAGAGAGAGAGAGAGAGAG